AGCAGCTGGGGTGCTGCCGGGTTGGTCCAGTAGCGCCGAGGTGCGGCGCTGCAGGGACCTACCTGGCAGCGCCCCAGTTGCTCTGTCCCAGGCGTCCAGATTCAGCTGCTGTTAAAACTGATCAGCGGCTGATTCCAGGAAGCCCGGGGCAGAGAAACTCTGCCTCAGGCTTCCTGTAGTCAGCAGCTGGTCAGTTTCAGCAGCGGCTGAATCTGGACGCCAGTTCCGACTTACGTACAAATTCAACTTAAGAACAAACCTACAGTCCCTATCTTGTACGTAACCTGGGGACTGCCTGTACACCATTATCTCTTTACAACCCAAGCCTAATAAGCAACGGTTAATTCAGGTCTCTGTAAGGAACCACTAAGCTTCTCTCCCTTCCTGCTTTCTCACTTCCTGGAGGGGACGTAGAGCACTGCTGTAGCAGTCACCACTCTCACAACATGGGAGAAGGATGTCAGATTTTCCTATTTTGGGGGTTGAGGGTGTTTAAGAAAGTGGCACATTCCAATTTTCTTCTATTGAGGTGAAATCAGGATTGGTCACAGGCTTGCTTCTGACTTTTCAATATACATTTATCTGACACAGTTGGAATGCGCACCTTCTAAGTGATGTGAAAGAAGCGCGAAAGTGCATCTACTCACCCTGGGGAAAGCAGACCACTGCTAACCAGTGTGACTGTATTTCTCAGCAGCTCCCATTGCTGCTAACTGCTCTTTCACTAGGAGCAATATACAGGTAGTTCCATTATTATTATTATTATTATTATTACATATTTAGGTGATAGTATATACCACCCAGAGACATCCTGAAGGATCATAAGCCCCTGAAAGCTCTTGTATGATGTTGAGAACAGAATATCCTATGGCTACATCTACACTGGCGCGTTCTCACGCAAAAACTCTTCTGCGGGAGAGTTCTTGTGCAAAAAAAGTTCTCTTCCAGAAGAGAGCATCTACACTGGCATGTGCTTTTGCACAAGAGCATCCATGCCAGTGTAGAAGCTCTTTTGCACAAGAAAGCTCTGATGGCCATTTTAACCATAGGGCTTTCTTGCACAAGAAATTCATGTTGCCTGTCTTCACTGGCCTCTTCTGGAAGAGCTCTTGCGCAAGAGTGCTTTTTCCTGATCGGGAGCGTCAGAGTTCTCACGCAAGAAGCCCTGATTTTATACACGAGAACAGTGTTTCCCAATTTTATTTGCCACAGAACCCCTAGAGTTGTTTTAAAAAGAAGGCCCCTGCCAAATTTCATTGAGCAAAAAAAATAAAAACCTGGCCATGGCTCTGTCTCGTTAACAGGGGGCGGGGGAGTGCCGGCTCTTTGCGGAACCCTTGCTTCGCTTCGCGGATCCCCAGAGTTCCCCGGAGCATCAACTGGGAAACACTGCACTAGAACGTCAGTTTACCTGCGCAAGAACACATGGCCAGTGTAGACAGGCAGCAAGTTTTTGCACAAGAGCAGCCATTTTTGCGCAAGACCGTGCCAGTGTAGACACAGCCTATGACTGGGACTAGTCGTCATGGTCAAAACACTTAATAGGGCCTGGTGGCTCATGCTCTGAGCATGACTAGTCAGTCTGTACTTAAAACTTACCCTGGCATAGCTATGGCAGGGTGCAATATTTTTTACCAACGTAGCTATTCTGGTATTAGCCCTAGTGCTTTTATGCTGGTAAAAAGTCATTTTGCTAGTATTGTATATTGAGCGAACTGGGGTAAGCTATGCCAGTGTAAGCCACAGCTACATTAGATGAGTTTGCCAGCATAAGCTATAGCACTGCCAACAAAACTTTTCTAGTGTAGACAGGATTGTGGAGAGTGAAACTGATCAATATTAAGACTGGCTGCTGCTGACTAGGTAGCATGCATTTCAACACATACAATATCTTAAAATATAAACATTGTGACTTGCTCCTAAACTTTCAAGTCAAACACGATCCATATTAATGGAGTCACAGCCTTCTTACGGGCTGGCACAGAATGGGGCTGAATTCCCACAGGGACTATGAATCACCACGAACTTCATCACCTCACTTTCAAATGCTAAACATACTCCTACCTTGCTTTTGCCAATAAATATATAATGCAGCGTACATATATTTTTTTATAAACCAATGCCAACAAAACTACAGTGTGTGCTCAAATTCTCCTCCTGGAGAGAGGATAAGGGAAAAAAGCGAACTACCCATAATGGACATTCATTACACTGCTCAATGAACTCTTGGAGGGTGCCCAGATTTTACTCTGATGAGAGCAGTGTAGGAACTTTTATAGAACTGAATATGAACTATTTCACTTCACCACTGGCATTAAAAAAAGTGAAAATTCTGGCTTCAAGAACCACCACCACATTATGCATTCCAGGAGCCAACCCCACATCTTGGAAAGTGTGAAGGGTTCAAATCGGGAGAATAAGCCTGCCTAACAGACACTTACCTGACCCATAGCCCTACCTGAAGTTCTTTTTCTACTTGGCTACACTGATCAAATGAACCAAAGTGAGCAAACCTAGGCTGACTCAGCTTTAGAAACTGACACTAGCTGCCCTGGAAGCAATTGACTACCATAGTTTTTCAGTCGAAAGAAGTTCTCAGCAGACTTTACAGCTCCTGTCACCCGATTCATAATTACCAGTTCATGCTAGCTGGACAGGAGACGTAAGCTAACTTCTGATCCCAGTAAGAGGCTATCCTGGAATCCTCTCTCAGTATAAAAACATACATATCTGCTTAACTGAAGTATAATAGCACTGCTGAAGAGGTCATAATCCATACTTAAAGCACGATGTAATTGGAGGACAGTATTGCATTGTCATGAGATCACAGACACAAAGTATGAAAACCCAGACCCTTCACCTCATTTCAATCATGTAGATATCTGTCGTACACGAGTGAACAAGATATCTACATCTTGACTGACCAAGGTAAGCCACCGCAGGATTTCTGCTCGCTATTCTGCACAGTCTTGATATCAACGTTGAAATCCAAATGCTCACCAACACTCATTAAAAAGCCCCACATAGCACACACACCGCCTCCCTGATGTGTTGAAGACATTTTCATAGTATCTGTACCTATTCCGGATAATTTATAGTTAAAAAGAAGAGTTAAACCCAGACTGTAAAAGGTGAACAAAACAGGTTGTGCATCATCAGACCAAGCCAATGCCTCACCTCCTCACTCTGCTAACTGTTGAAGGGATTTCCTTGGGCAGTCTTACGCCCAGCTGCTACAGGCCAAAAATCAGGGGGAAATTTAATGAATTTCACCGCCACCAAATAAACTGTAATTGTGTACTTGGCACCTCTGCAAAAGCTTTCCATCCAAAGATATCAACATGTTCTCCAGTCACTAGTTGACCTTCAACACACCCGTGGGAAATAATATCCCCAATTTTACTAATAATCACTTTCTATACAGCAGGGTGAACTGCTTTTTAAAATCACCTATTTAAAAAGTAATATTTAAATCACATTAATTTAAATAATCAATGTTAATTATATTTGTTTTTATACACTTTTTAGTTATTTTCTTAAAGATGATTTCATTGGTTAGTAACCATTACAACATGTGATTTGTAACTAATTACAGATAGCCTTTACACTAAACTGTAGCTCTTTTTGCTAACCAGGAAGGCACACTATATCTATATGTTTATTTAAGCAGTTATACAATTAGTTTACATTCATTCTGATTCTTAATTTTACTTTTTTATTATGTTAAAAAATGGCAAATGATGTGTCTTTTTTCCTACTTTTCTTTTTCCATTTATGATTTCTGTCAAGCTCTATTTGGATGAAAATATAAATTGAATTGAAAAATGCATAAAAACATTTTAATTAAATAAAATGTATTAAATGTACTGAATATACAAGAAAAAAGTTTAGCATTTATAAAAACTGATCTATTAGACAAGATAAATATTTAATTGCAGTTAGAAGACCTGATTCTTTCTGTCACCATATCCGTCAAGATTTTATTAGTAGGTAGGAAAAGGAAAACATGTTTTCCTGCTTTAATTCCCAAATGATTTCATACCTCTGAATTATGTAGTCACTGAACTTAATTTTAAAAAAGTAACCCTACTGTGCCTGCCAAACAAGCTACTGCTGCCAAAAGCTAGTTTGGTGTTCCAACTTGCTCTGGCTTTAGGGGCTTAGCCAGTGACTTCAACTAGTTCAGTGGTCTGACTTTAAAAAAAAAAAAAAAAAAAAGCTGTAGCAAATATGTACCACTACATATTATTTAAATTATTTTAACAGACTACATTGAGGCGTGAGTGTAAGTTGTCAATTTCAAGATTAAATTTAAATATTTAGAAGAGATCTCATTTTTAAAAAAAATTTAAATTAAGAAAATCATTGATTTTACGCTGAAATACTAAAAGACATTCTATTAAATACAACATGACTGAAGGAAGAAAGGACAGGAGGAAACAGAAGTGTGTAGGGTTGCTTTTGTTTAAAAACAAGTTACATTTGTTTTCAGCAGTTTTTGTATTGGTCACAAACCTACAAAACAATCTGCCAAACATTTAAAAGAACAATAAAGTCAAAACTGGTTCCAGCTACAGATTTTCACAGAGATATTTACCACGTTTGAAAGTAAAAAAGTTTTTCATGAAATATTTTACAGTCTTAACAGAAAAAGGTTAACAAAATTCTACCTGTAATATCTGAAACTTAAATAATGAAAGCATGGTGCTACCAATATTAAAACTGGCTAGAAAAAAAGTGAGTAATTTTCTTTGTCCATGTGGAACAAAATGCAAAAGGTAAATTTGCTTAAATACCAAATTCACTTTTTGCTATTTAAAATTCTGGTTTAGTAAGTCATTATTAGTAGAGTCCTGCAAATCTGCAGATATCCACAATTCATTTGGGTTGCTGCAGATGCAAATACAAAAGTTGTAATGAGAACCCTGCAAATTTGAGGATATCCGTTTTATATCCATGGGTATCCACAGCTGCGGATGTGGATATCTGCTGGGGGTGCTAATGGGCAACCAGTTAACTGCTACCCACTAAGCATCACTTGTTAAGGTTAACCATTGCCCAAGAGCAGGCCTGCCCCGCCCACCATATTTATTCAGTTAACCCGTTAAACTTAATATTTAACCAGTTAAGTAAACTAAACAGGATTTTATATCCCTAATATGCACAGTCCATTTTTTGTGGATATGGATGGGGATGCAGATACAAATTCTGTATCCATACAGGACTGTTAATTATTAGCAGCACAGGCATGGTCATTTGTTAAAGTATATGATTCAATGTGACTAATGTAATTGTGCACAAAGGTATTGGATATAGTGTACAAGCGTCACATACAAGTACTGTTCAGATATATATCATGCTAGCTTTTTTATTGTTTAATAAAAATTCTCAAAAGTTTGAGTAGTTCTCTTGACAATACAAGTTTCCCCTCCACAGGAAAATAATAGCTCCAGTAGAAGGTGCCAATCTACCAACTTTATAAAGCGGACAAATAAGCAATACTTTCATTTTCAGCTACATGCATGCTCTCCTAATGCAACCAAAACCCCAGGGCCTGAGAGATGCCAAGCACAAATACACTATACAACTATTTTACAGCTGTACCATATTTTGACTATTTGCAACAATTACAACCCAAATCAAAATCCTTAATAATAAGAGCTACAAGACTTTCTGTACCAAAACTGAGGGATTTTGTAAGTTCAAAAGCAAGTTATGAGGAATCCATTTCAGTTCCAAGCCCACTGCATTCCAGTTGATTCATCTGTTGTGATCCCTGACACCAACACAAGATCACAAGCAATTCAGTTCTCATGGGTTTTTGGGAACATTAGTATTTTAACAATTTTCAAAATTGAAAAATCTGAGCTGCTCTCTTTTCTGTGCCACAGTAACAATCTACCATTTGTTCTGTCAGTGTATCTGCCTCACCTGAGCATGGACTGGCTAAATAATTAAACTAAAAAGCTGATCATATGAGAATGGATGCTCAGGTGAGTATTTAGTGATCTGAGATTAAAAGAATAACCTTAATTCAACTCAAACCCTTTCAAAGCAAAACCACCTGTGTTCTCTGGCTCACTAATGTCAGTGGTTTGCTCTTTTCTTCCAGCAAAAGCCTTAAGTCCTGACAGCTTCCCCAGTGATGGATTTTTCACGTGGCTGCAAGAGCCAGGATATCGTTCAATGAGCCTGTTTGACAGAAACAGGATAAAGCAAGCTTCACTTCTCCCCCATGCAAGTCCAACACTGAAAGGCCACTAGGATAAAACACAGACTGCAGCCCTGAAACGTTCCCAAGTGGTCCCTCTTTATAGAAAGCTACCCTCTTCTCAAGCGTTTGAGGACAGAAGGAGGATTGTCCTTTGGAGCAGGGACTGCCTTGTTATCCAGGTTCCCCCAGCAAGAGAGATCAATGAGATTTCGACCACCATCATAATACAAGTATTTACTCTCTACCATCTTCAGCCTCATGCCCTACAATCAGGGGACAAGCTCCATGCTCTCAGAAGGGTCGGGGCCTTGGGTGGGGCTGGGGCAACCAGACCTGAGTACAGCCCTCTGGGAGTGACTTAAACGGTCCAAGGTTCTGGCTGAAGCAGCAGTGGTGACAGGCAGTGCGAAGCCCAGGCCCTTTTGAGTTGCTGGACCCCGGGGTGTCTGTTCCCTTTGCCCGCACCCCCCTGCTCCCATCAGCAAGTCTGTCTACAACATAGAAGGGTGAAGAGTTCAAATACAGACAAGTAAATACATACCTCATTTACAAAACAGAGGCCAGCAGCAATGAGGAAATATACACCAAAACACTGGCCGTATTTTAGAGATGCTTCCTCTACTAACCATCAAGTTTGTGGCCCAAAGTAAATGATCTGGAGGTTCTCACACACCAGTCTTAAGTAAACAGGATTAGGATAATTTGGGGTGCTCCACCAAGATTTAAGATAAATACTTATTCCATAGAATCCTCTTAATTGAGACATTTTATCATATGGCTTCTCCCAATCAAAAGATGCCATTTTTATAAAACTGAAAAATCCTTAACACCCGCTAATAAATAAAAAGCACAAGTCATCTATTTTTATTCATTCTGTCACTGAATCTAATAGCTCCCTGCAAACTGAAAATACCCCAAAGCCTTCAGGAAAACTTAATGACTCCACCTGATAAAAAGTATAGAGAGATTCTTTAATAAAGGGTTTTTTCCTAGGAAGCTGAAGAGAAGTCAGCTATTTATTTAAGCATGGTGACTGGAGTTAATGGTCTGCATTTACAGCCACAACTGAACCCTAAGCCATCAGAAAATGGGAGTTTAGACTGGGTAATCATTTAACTATTTTATATTGACTGAACAAGTCCCGGTTTAGAACTTCAGGGTACAACTATGCTGCAATAAATTTTAAAAAAAGAACACCCCACACATGACACCATGTCTCAAGAGTCTGGGTCAGCTGGCTTGGACTGCAAGGCTATAAAACTGAAGTGCGGATGTTTGAGGTCAGTCTGAACCTTAGGCTCTGAGACCCTGTGAGGAGGGAAGGATCTCGGAGCCTGTGGTCCAGCCCGAGCCTGAATGTCTACACTGCAATTTCATAGCCTCACCACCCCAGCCCAAGTCAACTGACCAGGGCCAGCCCAAGTCAGGTCACAGGTCTTTTATTGCTGTGTAAACATAGCTTTAGCAAGTACTATTCCAATTAAGCACACATAATTATTCATTAACAGAGCAACACTAATTCCTCTGAAAACTCTCAGGCATTTCCTGGCATCTGTACAGTAATTCGAATCAAGTCCAACAGACTATATTCTAAAAAGTTGAATAAACCTACCCCAGTTTCTCCACTACTTGAGTTTTCATCGAATTTAAGCCCTGGGTCTCCTCATCTGAAGAAATTTACAAAGAATGTTCCAAAACCAGTCTTAAAGTTCTCTTCACTAAAAGAGGAAAGAACACAGGAAACCACAATCAAAATGTTTAAATCTCTGCATATAACCTTTAACATCACCATGAATCTCATCCCCCCCTAGAAAGGCTGGAATGTGAACAGTTTAATTAATATGCCTTCATATGCACAAAAGAGCCAGACGTCATCTTCGTGTTTGGCAGGAACTTAAGAGTCTCCTCCAATAAAACACAATTAATTTTCAATCTGGTGCAAAAAACAGACCATACTAGTTGCATACAGGAGTGTGCTTAAAATTGTAACAAAGATGCTTTTCACAATTACTTTACGGAGGATTTAAGGTCCTGAGGTAGGTTGATTTCTTCCTGTATTACATGAAGTTCACACCTTAGGCACCTGCGATACACTCTCCTGACATAAAAATACTCTTATCTATTTCCTAATGAGACCAGAAATAACTTGCATAGTAGCATGCTTGTTAACATACTCTTACGGGGCAAAGCAGAAGGTGGGAATATGAAGATATCTGGAAAATAAATCTGTATTCAACGCTTTAGACTTTCGAGTATTCTTCACTCTCGGGACTCTCTCAGTTCTTCTCTCAATCCTGCAGGGTTTGTTTGGGGTTTTTTGAGACACCATTGTTAACGTACACACATTTCTTGTTTGAAGGACGACAGAATAAAATAATTAAGATAGCATGCAGAAACTTTTCACTGAAGTCTCACCAGTAATAATAGTAAAAGATGGGTGGCCAAGTTTCAGAAAACTGGTGAGTTTTGGGTCCTGGGCTAGTATTTTTAAGGGGCCACAGAGAGTAGGATGGCTGATGTCCATTGACTAGCCCAAGAAAGGACTTAGTTAATATGTGGCCAGATTTGTTCTGGGTATTGACAACAAAACAGCACCAGCTGCCTTCAATAATGCTGTAGTATAGTTTGTAAGTAGTCACTGCTAAGTAACTAGATCATAATATGGCTTTTGAGTAACTGGGTTTCAGACTAGCCCAATTTGAAATATTGGCGATATTTACTGTTTTATACCAGGTAACACATCCAACTTACGTAAGAACTGCCATACTTGGTCTGACCAATGGTCCATCTAGCCCAGCATCCTGTCTTCTGACAGTGGCCAATGCCAGGTTCTTCTGGGGGAATGAACTGAACAGGTAAACATCAAGCGATCCACCTCCCAGTTTCTAGCAAAGAGGCTAGGGACACAACAAAGCATGGTTTTGCATCCCTGCCCATTTTAGCTCAAAGCTATTGATGGGGCTATCCTCCATGAACTTATCGATCATACTTCATGGTACTCTGTGTTGTGTTGCCAATTCAGAAATGGCCCAACAGCAGAAACCCCACAAAGGTGTTTTTTTATTGGATTCTGCAAACATCTCAATCCACGTAACTTACTTTAAGTAAAGCAAAATACATATAAGCAAGCCTGATGTTCAGCCACAGGCTATTAAAATGGTTAAGATATTTAACTCCTAAACACTGGTTTTTAAAAAAACCCAGACAGATCTTGCTAACAGCAGAATAAAAACAACACAAAGAACAAGCAGATGGTAGGAGCATATTACTTCTGTGTAAGCCTATTCTGACACTCACCGTGTGACCAGCTACATGGGTTTTATTAATTTTTATCTAGTACATAGGGCACATCTTCACTTGCCACGCTGGAGATCAGCATTCTGCTGTTTAATTTAGCGGATCTAGTGTTGACCTATAAGTTGAATGCTAAGGACAACTATAGCCAGTGTCCGAAGAGCGAGGGAAGTCAACGGGAGCTTCTGCTCCCATCAGCCTCCTGCAGCGAGGATGGCGCCAAGCTCGGCTTAAGGTAAATCCACTCCAGCTATGTATTCTATGTAGCTGGATTTGCGTACCTTGTGTGGACTTGGCCTGAATTAAGGTCAGGCTTTACTCAAAATCGTAGCTTAGCATTCTCAAGGGACCTGATCTAGTGAAGGCTGCATTTTCATCTACTTTGATGAGACTTTTCTGATTCACAGGTTAAGGAAATATTTTAGTTTACTCCTGTGATGCTGGCTGTTAAGTTTGTTTAAAGAAAGTCAGAGTAAGGTTTACGGACGTTCAACACTACAATGAAATAAACAACATGGTGATAAAGAGATAAGAACAGTCACAAAGGCACAAGAATGAATTTGACAAGTTTTGTAATTTCCCCTCATTTTACAAAAGGGAAAAAGACAAAACTGGAATTATTGGCTAGACATTTGACCCAAGTGCTCCGATGTCTTCACAGCAAAATATGGTGTGTTAGTGATGAGCATTTAAAATACATGCCCTCTTTCCCCCATTGAGGTCATAGCCTTAAATGTCAGATATACACTCAATATTCAACTGATAGACTATTCCTTTCAATGCTTTGTACTTTTAGAGACACTGAACACAAACTCCTGCTTCTCTAACATACATACATGTATTTTGAAGCAGCAGCAACCATAGTGACATGACATAATTAATAATTCCTCTGACCAGTTTTTGAGAGGAAGAAGTCTATTTCTTCCATACACTGCGGCAATAGCTTGAAATTTGCTGGCAACATAAAACCCAACCAGCTTTGGGCCAGTTCTGGAGCTAAATTAACATGGTAATTTTCCCAGTTTTCTGCCAAAACCCTCTATAATTCTGTCAGCATTGCATTCCATTCCAGCCAAACCACTGCTCCAAATAAGAAAAAAAGTCGAACTGATTGATAGAAAAGTCTCAGGGGGTAGTTGTGTTAGTCTGCCTCTGCAAAAACAAGGAGTCCAAATTTATCAAAATAAGCTTTGTACTAGGCTAAGGTGCTGTATACGGGGAACATGGAAACCATTTGTTCATATTTAACATTTACCAACTTGTGATTGTCCTATCCACTTCACTACTAATTTAACAAGGATGCCCACCTCACTGAGAGGTTATACAACAGTGACCAGTACATCTCTCTAATGAGACAATTCTAAGCCCCAGTCACTTCAGACACAATGGTGTATCTACACAGCATTTTAAAGCAAGCCCCTCTAGCCCAAGTCTGCCAACCAGAGCTGGGAGGTACACTCCTGCTCACTCCAAAATGCTATGTAGACATATCCAATGTTCCTATGGAAAAAAGTCAGCCCAACTTTAATTGTCTGCTATGTGTGTTAAAAACGGGGCTATTCAGACATATACAACTGACCGATGGTGTATAAAGCAACCTCTCCTAGTGAGTGATGCAGAAATGGTAACAAGTTACTCTTTCAAGATTAACCGGTAAGCAGCTCCCTAAATGGGTAATGCTTACTGGTTCCTGTTGACCAATAACTGGTGGAGGTTGGAGCAGCTCCCTGCCCGCCAGGGGGAGAGGGCTGCTTCAGCTCCACAGGGGGCCCGCCACAGACAGGGGCTGCTCATTCGGAGCAGCATCTGTCTGCGGGGAGCCCAGCTGCCTTTCAGGCAGGGGCTGCTCCAGCAGGGCCTGGGAGCCGGGAGCTGGCAGTAGTCCAAGCCCCAGAGCAGGGCTGGGAGTGGGAGCCCCGTGGGATGGGGACTGCTCCAGCCAAGCTGGAGCAGTCCCCAGCCTGGATCCCGCTTAGCTGGTTAAGCGGTTAAATGTTAGGTCAGCCTAATGTTTAACCAATTAACTGATGAGCCAGGATTTTACATCCCTACTAGCAATCCGTGTTGCAGTGATAGAAGTCCAGGGCTCAATTCTGCTTATTCAGGAGGGTTATTTGCACATAATTCTATTTGTTTTACTTAAAAAAAAAAATCTAGTAAGTTACATATAGAAAGTGACAAAGGACACAACACATCAAACAAGTCAGTACATACTAGAATAAAGCTTACTTCTTTAACTTCAATCCATTAACCGCCAGCCGCCCACCACCCGCAGCACATGCATCTGAACTGTGAAAGTCTGTAATTACATGAACACATACTATTTTTTCCAATGGACCCCTGCTTCATTCAGTGGACAGGATGGAAGCTGCTCAGGGAATAAGTCAGGGCTGTGCAGTGAAGCAGGCTGCTGTCGGTAGAACTTCTGTCTCGTTTGTTGTAGAAATCGGAAGGTGTGTAGCAAATGAGATAGGGGACTGCGAAAAGAGAGAGGATGGTCATAGGGTTAAAGCAGTTGAATACCACTCCGAACTGGTCCCCTGCTTCATTCAGTGGACAGGATGGAAGCTGCTCAGGGAATAAGTCAGGGCTGTGCAGTGAAGCAGGCTGCTGTCGGTAGAACTTCTGTCTCGTTTGTTGTAGAAATCGGAAGGTGTGTAGCAAATGAGATAGGGGACTGCGAAAAGAGAGAGGATGGTCATAGGGTTAAAGCAGTTGAATACCACTCCGAACTGGTCATAT